AAATAAACGAACATTTTTTCAACTGTGTATCCATAGTGAATATTCAATTAAATAAAATTCGAACTCAAAATTTTCAATTTATTAAATATAGGGTAATCAACTAAGTACCAATTTTTGGGCGTTGTAGGGGTGTTAATCATTCCCTACGCATAACTGACTCCTGAACCTATTTTCGATTTTTATAGACCCTAAACTTGATGTTTTAACAAAAATAAAATATTTTATTAAAATCAACCGATTTCTATGATATCTCGATCGCACCTTAAAATAATCGATAACGACTCCTTGCATTTTAAAATATTTTCAAAGAAAAATTTTAAGTCATACCATATTTTTCTCCATCTGAACAAAAAATAGTGTCGACAAATACAAAAATCCGCGAGAACTTTATGAATAGCATGTAATTGATCCACCGAAGCCTTAGCGAACAAAATTATGTCATCAACAAAAAGTAAATAGAAAATGTCCGGATCCCGAGAAGAGGCTTTGAAAGAGAAATGATCACGTGCAGCAGCTTTTATACGGCTAAAAAAAACATTGATGTTTTATCGATTTTGTTATTATTGGGCGTTTTACTGGTTTTGTTATTTTTCTACTAGTTTTGTTATTGTTGGGAACTTTACCGAAAATATTAAAAAATATTAATGTTTTAAGTAGAAATAATAATATTTTAAATAAATTTTTTATTGATTTTATTATTTAAATAATAATAAAATCAATAATATAATTTTAATTATATATTAAAAATGTCGCAATATAAAACCTTCCAATTTTAAAAGGTTTCCATTTACCCTAAAGAATTGACGCATGAATAGACATTGAATTTGACATATTAAAGATAACCTTTTTTTTTTCAATCTTCAAAGTCTATCCAAAACAATATTGAATTTGACATATTAAACGATTAAATTATAGTTGCATTAATGTTAACCTATTTTTAATATATTATCCTTTTTCTTTCTAAACTTTAAAGATCGTGGATTCTATTTTCTTTTTTATTTTATTTGACAAATGATGATATTAATTTTGATATTGTTCGTATAACCGTATGTATTTATTATTTCTCATTTATTGTTCGTATGATATATTTATTTTTTTAAAAAATTAGTTTTAAATAGTTTTATCTTTATGATACATTTTATTCTGTTTTTATGATATGTTTTCGTTTTATATTTATGGTTAGATTTAACGTCGCCTTGAGGTGATATTTATTTGTTATTTTATTGATCTTCTCTTCTTTATATCCTTAGATTAGACTTAGATACGTGGTTTGCATTTGTAGATAGCTTTCTCAGGATGTTACATTTTTTATTTGTAGTTGTCGATGGTCTTTCAGTAGTTTAATCATCTGTTATGATTTATTTGTTAATGCAGTCTGATTTTCGTATATGTTACATCTTTTGCTTAAGTTTTTTTCGGATGAGTTTTAACTTATTATTCTTCTATGATCTCAAGTGTTTAGTTTATTATATCAGTGATTATAAAAAAATTCTAATTATATATTTAGTTTATAAACTTTATTAAAATTTTAAATATTTTATATTTTAATAAAATTAACAGATATATTTGCATCAAAATATTAATCCATTTTTAAATGTAATTTTCTTCCACGTTTAAATTTAAAATATACAAATTGAAATACATAGAATAACTTTTAAAGTTTATGCATATGAAAAAATATTTAAGAGATCGGCTCATTATTTGAATTAATATTAAAGTTGTTTTAATTACTTTTTTAAAAATTATCATCACTGCCGAACTGCGATGGGCGTACCTTAAATTATATGGACCAATAAATCAAAACAATCCAATCCAAAAGTATAAACCTAATTTCTTTTAATAGTATCATGGTAATATATATTTTTAAAAAGAAATTAAGTTATTCGCAACCAATGTTATTAAAATCGGATCGGACCGGTCGATTCAACCGGTTGAACCGTGAACCGGTGGCCTGTCCGGTCCGATTAACTCCCAAAACCGGATTAGCACAGAACCGGTAAAGAACCGGAAGAATCGGCTGAAAATCGGGAAAACCGGGGTGAACCGGCTGAAAACCGGCAAAACCAGTTTGAACCGCCGGTTCACTTTTTTTCTTTAAAAAAAATTAAACCAAACGACGTCGTTTGTTCAACGAGCCGAGTCAAATTTGAGTATTGCTGAGCTCGACTCGAACTCAAAAATTTTAAAAGTAAGCTCAACTCGACTCAAAAACTCACGAGCTAAAAATTATCAACTCGAAATATAATATTAAAACTTGAAATCGAAAAGGCTCGAACTCAAAAAAAATTAGAAGTTCGATTGAAGCCTAAAATTTGAGCTCAATTGAAGCGAAAGAATAGTTCGCTTTGTGCTCACCAAAAGGCTCAATGATTTTAAATGTCAAATAACCTCTATTATTTATAGAAGTAAGTTGGGATGATATTCTATGTTTCTTAGTCATGTTAGATTGTTTTGTTCTCATATTTTTACTCTTTAAAATTTTGGGATACTCTTCTATGTTTCTTAGCCATGTGGGATTATTTTTTTTAAAACAATTAAACCAAATGACATCATTTGTTATAATTTTTTTAAACCCCAATTTTATTTTTTTTGATTATAGTTATATAATTATATTTATTATTTAATATGTTTTACCTTAAATATTATGTTGTAGTTGATTTGAATCATTTTGTTTCACTTGATTTTATGATTTTTCATTTATACATGTTATGACTTGTGATATTTTTATACCTTTTAATATTGTAAACTTAAACAAAGTGTTACATATATATTAATATTGCTTTGAATATTATGTAAAATTAAAAAAATTTATTATTTTTTATAAAATCCGGTTCAACCGCGATTGAATCAGTAAACCAGTACCTTCACCGGTTCAATGTCCGGTCCGATTTTAAAAATATTGTTCGCAACACATATATCCTTTAAATATATCCAAGGACGGATCTTCGTGGGGTTAAGAGGAATCTTGACCCTCCGTCAATTATTTTTTTGTATTAATTAATATTGAAAAAATATATTTTTAAAAAATAGATACACAAAAATTTACCATACTTACTCAATTAAAAATAATAATATTTATGAAAAATAAAAAATACTTTAACCCCTATTGTAATAAATTCTTAATTCTACCCCTGAATATATATACTTGAAATTAGGACCTGTAGAAAAATTAAAATTCTTTTTTGCCATAATTCAGCTTGAAAGGTTGAACTTTTCAGTTAAACTCCGATGAAAGGATTTTAAAAATATTGGAGACGACTTTATGAACGTGGGGTGGAATCGTGATAAGAAAGTATAATTTTTCAACTGAAATCCGATGAAGGGAACATAAAAAAGAAAGCATGATTACCCAATAATCTGCTTGGAGGTTTATGCAACTATAGACACCCAATGGTTAGATTTGGGACTTCATGCGCCAAACCACGGATGGTGCGCCTTACATCCCATGCACCTTTCGGCTAACATGGTTCAAGCCTATACGCTCATTTATGTTTTGCTACGCTTTTATCATTTATTTCAACCTTTCATATCATTTTTATATTTCTTTTTAAGCTTATTGCACTTCTAATTTTCTAAACTATAATTCAAAATAAATTTGGCGTCTAAATTTTTTTTTGTTAAACCTATCGTTTTCTTTGTTATATTTTTAGGTGTCTATCGTTATATTTTTATTTTTTAATAATAAAAATATTATTATTTAAAAAATTAAAAAATTCTTAATTGTATTTATAAAAAATTAAAAAACTCTGATAAACTAAAATCTCTTGTTCTAATCTCATTACCAATTGTCGCCAGTCACCTCGGGCCACCATCATAATCATCGACGGTCACTACTAGTCTCTACCTGTCCAATGATCAATCATCACTCTTACCGTCACCCCAATCCCTAAAATCTCCAATATACGAATCTTTAATCTTTTAAAACCCTAATTCCCAATTTCAAATTTAAACTCAAACCCAAACCATAAGGCCCTTTTGACACTCTATGCCTGCATTGTCCATATCGTGTGCTTTTTCCTTTGTAAAATCAAAATACCCAATAATTTGATGAAAAAGAAAACCATCAAGTAAGTAATCGCTACAATTAAAATCAGTTTTTCAATTAAAGCCCCATTGCATTTTCCTTCTTCATAACTCATCATAGCACCTTTGATGGCATCGTTTCACTGCAATCGGTGGCAGTAGCAGTGGTGAGAGTGGCCGACCACTGTGAAAGAGGGAAGGGGGAAGGGAGAAGGGGATTGAGGGAACGGTTGAGATTTTCTTTTTAAAAAAAGGATTTTTTTAAAGAAAATAATATATTTATTTTTAAAAAAAATTAAAACAATACAATTTTATATGCATGACACATGTTAGATAATAATTAAATTTAATTGTCGTTATGGTTCAAGCACCTAAAAATATAACATTAGAAACGTTAAGAACTTATTGTCAGCAAAAAATTATTTACACACCAAATCATATTTTAAAATATAGTTTATGTACTAAAAGTGTATTAAGCCATTTTTCACTTAAATATAAGTTATTTTAGTTTCATCTTGAAAGATTTTGCAAACATCAATTTCAATTCTAATTATTCAAATAATTTGTACGAATCAAGAGATATTGGTGATTAAGGAATTTGTTATTTTCCTTTAAGATCTTATGTTCGAGCATCTTGTAGGCGTAAATGTCATGAATACGAGTATTCATTATCAAATAATTAAAAATCTTTGAACATATTATCTTATATTTACCCTAAATTTATCGAAAAAATTATTCAAATAATTTATCTGTATATCGGTAATTATGAGTGTAAGTTATAATTTCAAATATATATTCATTTGAAAAAAAGGAAGAAGTTAAATTTACAAATATAAAAATATTTCGGATTAATCATTAAATTAATGTTAACTACTTTACGCTAATAAAAAAATCATGAACCAATAATAAATAATCATTACAAATAAATAAATAAAATGAAAACATACAAAATACAATTCATAACGTGTCAACAAATTGCCAATTTTTCATCTACCCATAAAAATAAATAAATAAATAAATAATTTCTTCCCAAAGTACATCCACATAGCAATGTAAATTACAGATCTAGCCTTTCCATTCATTGCAGAGAGCAGTAGGCCTCGTCTTCTCTGTCTCCCCTTTCAACGGGCAGGGCGTCTGTACGGGCGGCACCATACAGTTATACTGTATACACAGGGAACTGCTTCGAGGGATCAACGCCATTGGATTAATCTTGATTCCGGTCAAATAATTATGCTGCAAATAAAGTGTTTGTAAGCTGGCGGATAACAAACGGTCGACCAAGCTGACCGGGACTTGACCAGTGAACCGGTTGTGATTCAAGTAAAGATTCTGCACCGTCGAGAACATTGGTGATATCTGACCGGAAAGCATGTTGTGGCTCAGATCGACTGTCGAGATTGTCACCTGATAAGACGGTTGGACTGGACCGTCAAACGAGTTTCTCTGCAAGTGAAGGTTTGTGATAGGAAATGAGAACAACCGGACGGGAATTGAACCGGTAAAACGGTTAAAACTCAAGTCTACGAAGTTTAACTGGTCGAGCTGGGATAGAGCACCGTCCACCGGTCCCTTCAGCTGGTTCCAGGAGAGAGAGAGGAACTGGAGAGAAGGAGGGAAGGAGTCGGGGAGCGAGCCGGTGAGCGCATTGCGTTTGAGGTCCAACCGGGTTAGGGCTTGGGAGAGAAACGGAGGGACCGAACCGGAGAGGTTGTTGTGACAGAAAATAAGATTGGTTAACTCCGGTAGGGTGCCGATGGAACGAGGGATTCTACCGGTGAGTCGATTGTAGCTAAGATCAAGCGTTTTAAGGCTACTCAATCGGCCAAGACTGGCCGGAATATTACCGGAGATGAAATTCCGGGTGATGGCAAGAACCCGAAGGTTCTTCAACTGCGAGAATGAACGCGGCAACGACCCGAAGACCCCACCAGGAACAAGGGAAAACTCCGTAAGTGCTGATAGTTTACCGATGGCCGGGTCTATCCTTCCGGTTAATCCGGGAAAACCAGCACGCTGATCACCCAGATTAAGAGCTATTACCTTATCGGATTCACAGTAAACTCCAGTGAAGTTACAAGGATCGGAGGTAAAATCCCAGGAGGCAAGAAAATTAGAACCCGGAAAATCATTGAGAGACTTTCTTATTAATTGTAAAGATAAAAAATCAAGGGGGTCTAAAATTGCAAAAGCCAAGAATCTACATTGAAGCAGGGCAACTAAAAACAGAGCATAAGAAGAAACCACTGGCTTTCTTCCCATAGAAGCAAAGAGTTTGGGGACTAGATCGACTTACACAAGACGAGGGCTCTGTTCTTAACTATCAGATGAAAATGAAATGGAATCGATTCCACAAGGAGATGCAGAGCTTTGAGACCTTACTTCTCAGACTGGTGCTGTGAATCGGACAATGTATATTTTAGTTTTATTTCTTTGTTTCTTTATTGGGATAGGTTCGGGCTCAAACGGTTATCCGAACCTACTCGTAAGATAGAGATTAGGTTCGGTTGATGGCTGAAGCTGCTATAGTACAATCATTTCTCTTATTAGGAAGTAGTGCACGGCACGACAGCAGCAACTTACTTTTCGGACCCAGGCAATATCATGCCATAAGCTCTCAACGCCTGAAAATTATATATAGTAATATACATCATTATTAATTATCCAAAAAAAAATATACATCATTATTCATTAGTTATGATGATTTTTCTTTATTAATCTAGGACAAATATAATATAATATATGTTCGAATATAACTCTTAACTATATAACATTGAAGTTTACACTTTTAATATTTATGGTGTTCGAACTCGATACCTCAAAAAATAATATTTAAAATGACGTCATTTTAAATATCATTAGGCACACCTAAATGATGTCGTTTTGGCCACATCATCACAATGATAAAAAGATTAGTCCATGTTATAGTGGCATTAAAATTTAACACAACAGTGATATAGTGGGAGTTAAAACTAAAATTTAATGTTATAATTAAAAAAAGTTTAATATAAAAATAATTGTCTAAACTATACCTCAAATTAACTTTTTGTGCCTAAAAATTTTTTCGGGTGTCTAACGTTTTTTCTGTTACACTTTTAAGTGTCTATCTTTATTTTTTTATTTTTTAATAATAAAAATATTATTTTTTAAAAAAAGAAAAAAATTAAAAATAAAACTCCCCCACGTCATCCCCTATCCCTCGCATCCCCCTATCTCTGACGACGAAGGGTCACCATTGGCTAAGTTTTGTTCGGAGTATGATAAGAAACTCAATGGTGGCGTTCATGTAACATAAGAATAGCTATAACAATCGAAATCACCGAAAACAACGAATGAAAACCTAAAAAAGCATTTTCCCTTTGCGATGTAACACCCACTGACCGATGCAGGTAACTCGATATGATCTGAGGTGTCACATTAGAGCCACCGAAGCGACCTATAGTAAAAATATGTGAAAAAATTTAAAATTTTTGTTATAACGTGAAAAATCATAAAACAATTTATAATTAAAATACAAGTTCAGAAAACCATTCATATATTATAAACAAAATTAAAATCATGCAAGTTTCTGACTCTGATATAAAAATAAAATACAACCTACATGCCCCCTAATCAAATGCACCGTACTCCGCAAGCAACGCCGATGGAACTCCTTTACTGATGTCGATAGTTGCACTAATTTGATTCTTTTAACCTGAAATGGTGAGTAAAAGAGTGAGCTTTGAAAAGTTTAGTAATACAGAACTACCAAGTGATGCTGAAGGACATGCATATAATAGGCAAGCATGATTTTCCTTATTGAATCAGACATCTATAGATTTTTATGATGAGCTGAGGTCCTACTAATATTTTAGGTAGTAAGAGACATGAAACTTACAATTTAGAGAGAACATTTAGAGAACCAGGTCTAGGAGATCAGAATAGGGTGTCTAGTGTATTCCCACAAAACCAGTGAAAAAGGTACATATATTTTTAAAACAGTAACAATTTAAAACATATTTTTAAAACCGTAGTAAAACCCTCCAACCAAACGCCAATATGCAGTTCTCCAGAACTACATCAATAAGGACTTGCCCTAGGCCCATTAGGCATAGGTTCCAATATAAGGGAACATATTGGGTCCATAAGGTCTTACCCTGGCCGAAGCGTAGGTGTCCACCTGAGGGACTGCCCTTATGTCCATAAGGACTTACCCAAAGTACATAGAAGAGGTGCCACCCTAAGGGAGTTCCTTATGGTCCATAAGGTCTTACCACTAGGCCAATGAGCCCACCCAAGGGTCACCTTAGATCCGTAAGGAATTACCAGCTCGATTGGTCTGAACCTATATAAGGAATTACCAATTTGACCGAGCTGAACCTACCGTAAGGAATTACCAGTTTGATCGGTCTAAACCTATATAAGGAATTACCAGTTTGATTGAGCTAAACCTGCAGAGACTTCATACCAGATCCAAGAGTACCTCGAAGAAAAACATTTTTCAGTCAATAATCAGTGGTAAAAGGAAATCAGAGTTCATACATATTAATTCAGTAAAAACGGTATCAGAGATCATGATTCAAACAAGCAGACTTAAAACTTCAGTAACTCAGAAATCTCAATAAAACACATTTCAGAACAGATAAAACAACCATATAGCACATAGGGAACACACTAGAGGATCTAATTATTTTCTGAAGGTACTGGTATTTATCAGTAGGGAGCCATGAAACTTCTGTAAACTGATTAAATTTAGAAATGATATCCCTATAAAAGGGTTTGATAGCTGACAGATCCATCAGTTATTCAGGACGTGATTTATCAATATCATATAGTATTCGAGTATTTTTTGGAGGCACTAATAAATCAGAAAGGTATTCATAATCCTTTCCATCTGAGTTACTTGTGATTTCAGATCTAACAGAAGTGTTTCCATTATCCATGAAATCAAGGGCATTTGGACATTAGGTTCTTGGAGAATTCTTAGTAATTTGATCTAATAAGGGAGAAATGGTGATTCATGGTATTTATGATTTGTGTTGATTTATCAGGATATCGAGTTAACCAGAACTGAACAAATCCATCAATATGATACCGGTCAACCAGTTAAATCGTTGCACTTCAAGGGTATTCACACTTTAATATTGACAACTCTTGTCGAACTGGTCATCTTCAGAATCATTACTAGTAGATTTTTAGGGAGATGAACAAGTATTCAATCATTCTATGACACGGGGTTACCTTAGGTCATTTACACTCTAAGGGTATTTTGGTCATTTTATAGTTCAAGGGTATTCATTTATTTTCTTCTATTTAAACATATGCATCATTATAGTAATTTATTTATCAGGTGCTTTTGTCCAAAAGCCACAAATTCTAAATATTCTTTCATCTTGGAGGTTAGAAATCTATTATCCAGATTTCTAAGCAAAACTAGCATTTTCCATGTACATCAGTAGTTTCATCAGATCAATGTCTTTTCGGAGTTATTTATTAACTTCCAGTGAAAAATCTTGTTTTTTACAACATAAGGTATTTTTGTAATTTTACCCTATAAGGGTATTTTTCTTAATTTTACCTGACCGAAGTATTGTCATAATTTCTCATCCAAATACCTTTGGCATTTAACCTTTAATGAGATAAATCAGAATTTACAGATCCAGAGGTTGATTGCTTTACCACTTAATCACATAACTTGTAATTTAAATTTCTATCGGTCCCCCAATTTCTTATACGAGTCAACTGAGTCATATTAAGTTACCGACTTTTTACCATATTCGGATCGAGTTTAGAAATAATTTACTATATAGATGAGACCAAACATATTCATCCATGTATTTACCAAATTCCAACATGTTTCATAAAGCATACATAATGTAGTAATGTATTACCTCAATTTTCGTGGTTCAACAATCGAACTTACTCCATTTGATCACTCTCGAACTTGAATCCAACGTCCAATAATTTCTCGGATACATAACAAACGAATTTACGTCAAAATTGAACATAATTGAGAAATCAAATTGAATCTGAAGGTAAAACACTGGAAAACAGCTTACAGAGTGTGAATTTGGCAAAACAGACATCATATTCGGACTCATGACGTCAAAGAACATAAAATAAGGCTTTTCGAAAAATTTGACTTTTGGATTACAGTCAACTGTCAAAGTCAATGGGTCAAAGTAAATAGGTTGACTTGGATGAGTTGACTTAGATGAGTTGACTCGATTCAGATTGGGTTGACCGGTTCAGATCAGTCCAGATTGGCTGGACCAATTCTAGAAGGAACTAGAGCTGGGGGACGAGCCCCACTCGCACCCGACGGCACGTGAGGCGCGTGAAACACCAAAAGGGGCGGTTCGGTTAGTCAATTCTTCCTGGAGCATCAACACAACATTTGCAACCAAAAAATCACTAGAAATAACTATCCACTATACCAAAATAATTGAAAATAAAACCTAGCTTACCCAACTATGGTCGACCGAGGAAAGGATGATGATGTGGTGACCCATGGGTCGGGTTTTGAGCAGAACAAGCCGAGGAACACGATGATGGGGGCGGTGAGACACGACGGTCAACGGTTTGGCTGGAATCAACATAAAATCGAGACAGGGTTCGTTTTTCCCGACGATGCTTTGAATGACGATTCACAGTGTTGTTCGGTACGGGGATGCTTGGGTTTTGATTGTCGGTCGATGGCAATCTGAATGAAGGAGGTGGCAACGAAGATGATGGTCGGACGGTGGAGAATCGGACGACAAAGAGAACGACGGCTAAAGTTTGGGGTTGGGAATTATTTTTCAATTTGGGGATTTTGGGATAGAAATAATCGGGTTTATTTTTCATGGACCAAAAAAATGGTAAAACTCAAGTTTAAGTCCCTGAACTTTCCACAGGTTCCAAAACCGAGCTATAATTTTTAGAAATTTACAATTTGGTCCCCAACTTTTTCCTTGCTACGACTTTAATTCAATACTTTAAAATTAATAAAATCTATCCCCTAAATTAGGGCGTGACATGCGACGTTTTCAACGATGATCAGTGCAGTTTCACGGTAGGTGGGGGATCGAGATTTGATCACGACGATGAGATTTGATGATGTCAACGATGACAACCATAGATCGACGGTGATCGATGGGTGATGGAGGAAATAAATTTTAGGTTCTTTTTTAAATTATAATATTACGTATTTTTGTAAAATAATTTTTTTTTAATTTTACATGCATGACATGTATCTGATAACAGTAAAATTTAATGACGATTTCGGTTCAGACACCTAAAAATATAAGTTGAAAACGTTATGTACATATTTTTAATGAATTTTTTTTAAACTCTAAAAAATAATTTAAAATATAATTTAAACAATTTTTTATATTAAA